CAAAACCCCAAAACCCCACTTGGTCAAATTTGTAACTAATTTTGAATTATAAATGATAATAGGGGAAGATTGAAATTAATTTAAATATAAAATCGATTGTAATGCCCCCCAAGAAGAAGGACGGAAAAAAGAAGAAGAAGTCTTCTTTAGAAGAAGAAGCCCGTGCCAAGGCCGAGGCAGTAGATGACATTGATGATGAGGACTACAAGAAGTCACTGCGTAAGGAATGCAGACTCCTTGAAGAGCAGATTAGAAAGGAAGAAGATCTGGCTGGTCTCTATTAGGATGAGAGATAGAGAGTTAACTACTTCTGGATTGTGGCTAAGAAAGAACTTGAAGATAAAGAGGCTGAGCAGCGTAATAAGGAGAGAGAGCTCCAGGACTTAAGTGAGAAGCATCAGATAGAAATCAAAATCTACAAATAGAGAGTTAAGCACTTGCTGTTTCAAAACCTTGACTAATTAACTGAATTGAAAAAGGAGGCTTAAATAACATTGAAGAATGTAGAGGACGAGCATAGAATAGATGAGAGAGAGCTCAAACAAGATTTAAGAGCTCTTAAAGTGCAAAAGAAGGAGCAAGAGGTTAGACACTCTGAGTATTTGAATGCCCTCACCAAGGATAAGAACAAGCAAGCTACAAAGATCAGAGCTGAGTATGAGAGAATAGCAAATGAAATTCAATTGAAATACAAACATAAGATGCTTCTACTCAGAGAGGAGATGGAGCGCAAAAGGAAAGCTATGATTCAACAAATCGAGAATAAAAAGAATTAGGCCATCAAGGATCTAACTCAGAAGCATGCTAAGAAGTATAATGACATTAAGAATTATTATCAGGAAATTACAAATACAAACCTAGATATCATCAAACAGCTCAAGGACGAGCTAACAGATGCTAAGAAGGAAGATACTAGCAAGCAGAAATAAAAAATGGACCAAGAGGAAGCTAATAAACAAGTTGTAGAGCCCTTGCAAAAGGCTAGTGAAGAAGTGAAGAAATTATCTGAAAAGAAGAAGAAGCATGATACTATCATGGATAAGTTAAAGGAATGCCAAGCATTTATCATGGAACACGACTCAGTGTTAAAAGATATTGAATGGCAGTATGAAGTTCGTCTTCAACAGTTCCAGTATCTACAGCGAGAGAAGAAGGAGCTATTCGATGAGTTTCATCAAACTGTGTATGAGATTCACCAAAAGACTGGGCTTAGAAACTTAGTGCTTGAGAAGAAACTTGAGACCATTTAGGAGAGTCTAGAGACGAAGGACGCCCAGATTAACTAACTACTGGCAGCTGCAAAGATTGACCCCAAAACTCTAGGTATTATCAAAAGCACTCTAGAGGAGGTTGAGAACCTTAAAAACGAAGCGATCAAGGAAATTCAGGCTGAGCTTAAAAAGATCAGAGAGGCACATTCAAATATGGTTAAAACCTACGAAGGTAAGCTCAGCGAGTTCGGTATTCCAGTCGAAGAACTCGGTTTCGATCCTTTGGTTCCAGCAAATATATGAGAGATAAGAGCGGGTTAGAGAAATTTTAACTATTAAGAAAACTAGATTACATTTAATATCAAGCACATCTCTCTAAATTTACCTTTAATATTTAAGTTTTCATGTTCTTTTCTCAAACTAATGAATAATGCCTTGGGGTTTTGGGGTTTTGGGGTTTTGGGG